GGGGGGGGGGGGGAGGGGTTGAAATCTGCGCTCTCAGAGTTTCCTCTTGGTATCATCAGCCCTAATTACTCCACTGACTTTCCTGTTGTTTTGGCAGAGTTACGGAGCTGGAAAGCTCCCTAATAACACAGCTCCGTTCGCTGCCCATGTCATTAACTTCTAATTTATTTAAAAGGAAAAAAACTACTTATGCTCTGGGCCGCTCAGAGCCAATCACATGAGTCACCGCCTTACGTCGCCATCCCCGCCAGCTCTCATTTGCTGAGCCGCGCTTACTCAACTTCCCAAAGGAGGAAACAGCCAGAAGTCTCCCAAAAAAGGGGAGGAAAAAAAGTTGGTCTGTTGTTGGGGGCTGAAGTGAGCGGAGGTGGTGCGTCCAGGAGCGTCTGAGCGAGAGATTGATTGAGAGGTCTGGACTCGAGAACGAGAGGAGGAGGAGGAGGAGGAGGAGGAGAAGAAGAAAGAGGCGACGGCGGAGGCGGCTGCTGCTCCGGCGGCGGCGAGACGCAGGGCGGCTGCTTCTCTACGCAGGGATCTTTGTGAAGCTGCGCCGAGATGTCTTCTCCTTCCAAAGCTAAGGAGGTTTTCTCCTCGGACGAAGAGGGCCCCGCTGCTGGGGCCGAGGATCACCACAAAGTCAAGGTCTCCAGTTTGCCGTTCAGTGTGGAAGCGCTTATGTCCGACAAAAAGCCGCCCCGAGAGGCGAGCGGAAGCCTTGAAGGGGCTGGCTTGGGTACTTCCAGGAACCTGCTCTTGCCCACTCACGTCTCCAGGGAAGCTCCCAGCCCCGGCGGGCTTACAAAAACCTTCGAGACCTCGTCGGTGAAGTCCGAAAACTCCGAGGATGGCTCGTCCTGGATCCCAGAGGCCGGCAGATACTCCCCTCCCCCAAGTGAGTGCTTTAGCCTGGATAGGGATGGAGGGCGCTAATAGAATGAAGTTGAGCGACGAGGTCAGCGTGTGCGTGTAATGCGGCTTTCCCCCCACCCCATCCCCACCCCCAACTGCGATCCCGCCATTGCCCGGACTTTAGAGGAGCGGGAGGGAAGGGAGTTTGCGGGAGTCTTGAACTCGGAGAAGGCATTTGTCAGGCAGAACCCAGGAAGGCTTCACCACGCATAACGCTCCAGTTTGCAGGCACCGAGGGCATGTCCGATGACTACTTTCGGCGCGGTCTCTCGGCCTAAGCTTTAAAGCGGCTTCTTCTTTTGTTTCTGTGCCGCGAGTTAGCGTTTCGAATCCCTTGCTAGCGACGCGATCTTTCGCTAGCCGCCCCTTCAGCCGCTGAGTGCCCGGAACTGTCCAAAGGGACGCCGCGGGCCTGGCGCCGCTGACGCTCTGCAGTCCTAGGCCAGCTGGATCCGTCTACCCAAGTCCGAGCGACTCTCTCTCCCTGACCATCCCGATCCATCTTTATCGTGTAACTTTCAGTTTCTGCCTTTCGGGAGCAGAAGGGAGCTCTCTCACGGTCTTGCTTAGACCTCAATCGCCCCTCGCCGCCCTTCTGCCCCCCACCCCCCCTGAAAAATCTGTTTCTCTGCTTAATTCGCTTAGTTCGGTGGCTTTTTGCCATCGTTCCTCCAGTGCTCTTGCCTTCGCCGCTGCCGCCGCCAAAATCGTAGCTTTTTTTCTGCCGGGCGACGGGCGATCCTTGCGCTCTGCGCCCTCCGGTGCCTCCTTCGGTGCACCTGTAGCAGCAGCCGGCCTCCAGGCTTCACTGATCGCCTTCTACTGCGTAGTCCCATCGGCGGAGTCCAGCCCAGGAACCGAAGAACTCGGCCGAGAGGATCAAGAAGGATCAGGCCGGCTGCTTTATCTCCCGCTGGGAACTTCCCGCTCCGTTTCGGCTGGGCCGCCAGTGATTCGGAAAGGGAGCCTCGGAGTCGGCGCTCCTAGGCGGCTCAGCCCATAACTTCTCTGTTTTC